ATCTATCTATCTATCTATCTATCCATCTATCCATCTATCCATCCATCCATCCATCCATCCATCCATCCATCCATCCATCCATCCATCCATCCATCCAGAGAGTGTGAGTGGCTCATGAATTAAGTGAGAGGTTTACTCCTAGGAGCTGCCCACTGCTTGGTCACAAACTGCCTATGAAGGTCTTGGCATAGCACATAGTTGCATCTCCACAAGGTTAAGAACCACTGGTTTAGCACATACAGTAATTGCATCTCCATCCACCCACCCCATATATTGGTACTGAATGAAAGTGAAATAAATATTGCAGACTACCTTGTTGTCAGTTTTTAAAAAGTGAATACAATCCTTTTCTATGTCATTTTCTGACACACTTTGATCTTCCCTTCTTATTCAGCACTACATTTGTCTATCTACCTTCACCATATCAAAATAATCTCTGCATTTTATTTTATAGATTCTTCCTGAACTGGAATTACAGTATAATATAAAATATTTATTTGGATCTTTTAAACAGCAGCAGAATCTTCCTCCCTAAAATGGTGTGTTTGTATAGCAGAAGACACAAATCTGATGTTGAGAGAGTGATGTCTGTGCAAAAGACACATAGTAATCTACTCCCATAGGTGACATGTTATGATGAATGACATAGCAAGATTAGAAAGCTGGTGTAACTCACCTGCTTCATGTTTTTGTGTATATTGTGACACAAAATTCTTTTGAGCTTTCTCTTGAAAAAGCACTAGATGTTTGGCTTCTTTTTTTCCTTTTGGGGGGAAAAAGAAGAAATTACTTTGGCTCAGGACTGAGGACTATGTGACTATTTAAATAATACTGGACTACAAATCTATCAGCCTCATCAACCATAACCAGTAATGAAGGATGATAAAGTTGCAGTTCATCAGCATTAGGCTGGCTAAGGTTTCTCATCCATTGTATAAAGTACTTAAAAAGCAAATGCACATTTATATCAAAGTATCAGGTTGGCAAGCAAGATGTGCCGGGGAAAGTGAATTATTTTCAGTGCCGCAAAATGACATCCCAAACAGGGAAAACTTGCTCCAAAGGACTAGCTTTTTGACCCACAAAAGAACTTCCCTGAATATGACAGCTTTGTAGGGGCTGGGGATCCGTGAGGCCAAGGAGGGATTAGAGATCTTTCATCAGCTCTTTCAGACTTTCCTGGAGACTGCAGGGATGTTGACAAGTCTTTGGGTCTGAATCCTAAGTCCAGGTCTTCAGTACTACGTACAAGTCCGAGTCTGAGTCTTTGGTACCAAATCCCGGGTCCTAAGTCCCATGTCTGTCCCTATTGAAAATAAGCTCTTTTTCACCAGAAAAAGGGAGGGGTGAGTGGGTTTCAAATCACAAGTCGAGTCCAAGTCATTAAAAAAAACCAAGTCCAAGTTGAGTCACCGGTGCACCTTAAGTCCGACTTGACAATGAGTTTCGCTACTCGAGTCCCTACCCCTGGGAGACTGCATGGCATGTATACAGCAGCTTCTTGTAGGGTGAAACTCATCGTGGTTGACTACCATATGGATTTGATTTGCTACCTGTATTAAATTTGAAATTGTAATCTGTGCTCGCACAGGGACTGCAGATTGATTCATGAGTTTAAGGTTCAAACTGTATGTGATGTGAATCACATTCCAGCCCAAAGCCGCCGCCCTTTACCATGATTCCCCCGGTCCCATCTCTTTCTATCTGATGGAGAACCGATGAGGGCATTTTTGTTGTTTAGTCGTTAAGTCGTGTTGAACTCTTTTTGACCCCATGGACCAGAGCACGTCAGGCCCTCCTGTCTTCTACTGCCTCCTGGAGTTTGGTCAAATTCATGTTGGTTGCTTCGATGACACTGTCCAGCCATCTCATCCTCTGTCGTCCCCTTCTCCTCTTGCCTTCACATTTTCCCAGCATCAGGGTCTTTTCCAGGGAGTCTTCTCTTCTCATGAGATGGCCAAAGTATTGGATGAGGGCATAGATACATGAAATAATAATAAGCATGACCCAGAAATTAGGTGATTGGGTGATCTAGCACTAATCCCATATATGTAAGCAATTTTTCTAAAAAAAATAAGAGAACTCAGAGGACAATCAGGGAAAGGAAATAACATGTGCGGTGAGGTGAGTCCCTGGTCCTAAATGTCATGCCCCAACTCCCTGTAGCACAAAAACGCCACCTACAAACTCACAAGAACACCCATCTTTACAAGAACTTATCACAACAAACCACACAGGAAAGAAACCCGTTTGACTTGTTCCAGCTTGGAAAAGTAGAAACCTCCCAGCAGAAGAGAGAAAAAGCTGCTTTGCGAGCAAAAAAAAGGCTGGATCAATTTGAATCAGCCTTTGCACCATGTAGTCAGTAAAAAGTAATTCAAATTCACACGTTTTTATAATGAGAGCAAATCCAACAGTATTTGACCATGTAATCACCTCTGCACTTTTAGAGGGCAAATTTCTATGCAACATGCAACTCTTAAAAATTCAGTTCCTCCCTAAACTTTTTATACCACTTAAAATAAAAGTTGTAGGGTTTTTCAAAAAGAAAGAATAGAGCAAATGCATAAAGGACAGCTCTGTTACAATAGCTATTGGTTACTGTATCCAAATGGGATCAAATAATATTGGGCTGCAAGTCGTCTCAGCTTTAGTTTCCCCAGTAGCATCAGGCTGGTCACTGTTGACTGTAGCCGCCTGGGCAGGACGGAGTGTGGTTTGACCCATATGTACTGTATATTTATAGGCATGTATGGTTCTCTCCCAGATTAAAATCAAAGAAGGGGGGGGGTTCAGAGCATCTGTGAATCCTGAAGGAAAGGCAGAAAGTGGTAGGATTATAATGTGCAAAGAAATAACTACCCACTTCTTAAAATGGATTAAACCCCAGGAAAGTCTAGCCTTCAGCCACATGGAGACCTGGGTTTCTTGGAAGTCACTTAATAGGCTGTGGTCTGGAGTTGGTAGAGCCAAAGTGAACCTTAAAAAATGGGGGTGGGTGGGTTGCACCAATACAGTCTTTTGCAGAGAAGAACAGGCAGCTTCACACCTATGTTTGTGTACTCAACATTTACAAGAGAGGAAAGAAATATGGGCAAAACCAAGGTTCTTCTGCCTGTGATTCTCCTGTTTTCCTCATATAGTCTCACTCCTTTGTAATCTACACTGATGATGTTGATGAACTGTCAAGACAGTTCTGATTTATAGCCACTCTTTTCAGGGTTGCTGTAAGTCAGAATACACAGAAGTGGTTTACCCTTCCCTTCTTCTGGGGGCTCCCTGGGACTGTGCAGCTTGTCCAGGGCTACACAGTCAGGTTCTACTTGTAAGGAGGCACAGTAAGGAATTGAACTCCCAACCTGCAACCAGATACCTAAACCACAACCACCATGAAAATATGGATTATCTGATTTCAGAGGCCAGCAGGGTTGGATCTGGTCAGTACCTGGATGGGAGAACACCACGTCCTGCCAGCGATTTCAAAGTAGGCCAAGGAAACAATTCTGCCTTAAACCCTTGAGGCCTACACTCAGTCTGAGTGATCCATATTTTGCTACAATATTTTGCTATTTTGCCAGTGGTCTGACTGCATAAGGGAGCTTCCTCTGTAGCTACAGGCCCCTCCTCTTGGGTTTGGAACATGTGTGTGATCTAACTGCTTTAATAGGGATCAAGCATGAGCTGTCCATCGACATAGGGGGATTTGAGAGACTGGCCAAGCAAGATGTCACTGTTCTTCTATGGTTAGCAAGAATGTTTGTTTTGAATCTATATTAGACATGGCAAGGAGGCTAATCCAGACTGTACTGTACAGGGAGGGAAGGTTTATCTGCCCAAAGAAACAATTGGCTTTAGAGAATAAAGCTCCTATTGGTGCCCATGGAAGCATCCCCCCCCCAGCCCCCTTAATACCAACTGCCATATAGGGCAAGGGGTGTTTTCATCAGGATTGGGAAGGAAAGGGGTTCATTTCTGTTCCCTGTGTGTTGCAGTCTGGATGAAAATTGCCCTCCTCTCACTTAAGCTGTTTGCTTTTTAATCCCGGGCTTGGCTTTTGACCACACAATTAAAGCAACATGGAATTTGAACCATCATAGTCATCCCCAGAGCTCTGTATGGAAGTGCCATTGTTGCTTGCCAGGATTAATGGAAGAGAGGTTAGTGATGGAGGGAGGAGATGTAAAGGATCATGGCAGAGCCTGTGCCTTAAAAAGCCCAGATGAGTCCTTCGCAAAAGCCCTTGCTCATCGGGCAACGAGTGCGGTAGCATTTCTCCAGAGGACACCCCTTACTTCTAGGCAGCCACTACTTTGCTTGCAAGAGCGAGAGCCCCTCAGTGGAGAATGATGTCCAGCAGTACATATTTCCTCCACAAACTCCTGGATGTGTGAGTTCTGGAGAAAGTAAAAAACGACCAGCATCTCTTATGTTTATGTACACCTTCAGCATACTGTAGTGCCAATTACAAATCCCTGCTGATTCTCTGCACCCTATGCCAGAGGGCATGGCTGATGGGGCTAATGACAAGACAAGAACTGGCTAGCAACTTAGGCCAATATGTGTGGATCTCTGTTAAGGTATTGTTCACTGCTATTCACATCAGACAACTGCCATTCGGTGATCTGTGACCATTGTGCTACTACATGTATGACCATTGTGATTGTTGCATAGGTGGATCCTATTTTTCCAGGGCCATTATACTGTAGTTTACCTAGCAGGAAATTTTTATTTCTATTGCTGACCTACAACTTCGATGGAATGTGAGTTGAGGCAGTGAAGTACCTTTAAGAAATGAATATGCCTTTGTTTCACCATAAAACTCTGTGTGAAATCCTCATTAAATTAATCAGGAAGCATATTCTGCAGCTCTGTGTGTGAACTAATGCACTGCGTAGGATGTGTTCATCTCCTCCTTCAGGTTTGCTATGCCTCTGCATCCCAGGTCTCGTTGAGATTCTGACCTTTAATACTCTGCTTTCTGTTTCAGGGCCATGTAATGTTACTGCTGCTTTTACTGGACATCTCATCTCATTGGTGCTTGGGAAACTTTCTCCACTCCTTGTTTCTCTCTTTCAAGGTCTACTTTTGGCCCTCCTCCTTCCACCAGGATGTTGCAGGGTGGAGCAGTCATGTGCTTCCCCCCTGATGGAAACTATGCCATGTCACCTCAACACTTTGCTCGAGAACTGGAGAAGAGGCCATGGCTGTCACCTTCCAAGAATGTCGAACTTGCTGCCTTTAACCCACAGCGCTGCCTCACACCCAATCTCAATGCTGGCAGGATTCACCTTCTCCGCAAAGGACTGACCCCAGAGGCCAGGCGGTCCCAGCTGGGCATGTATAATAGCACTGGATCCCTGATCCGGAAAGTCACAGAGATGGGTTACCTTGGCAACGGCAGCTGTCCCAGCTCAGGGAGAGTGACAGCTCCGTGTACCCCACTGAGAAGTAGGCCCCCACCCTCCCTCTGCTCACCAGGCAGCCGTGCGCCCTTGGTTGCCCCCGTCCCTGATGGTCAAAGCTCAGTGGTGACCTTCCGCTTTATTGAGAAAGCCAGCGTGAAAACTTTAAATGGCCTCCCTCTGGTAGAGTCCACAAGGGAGAGTGGTCTCAGCAGGAGTCTGGAGGGTGGGGAGGCCCAGCACTTTGGCTCCAGCAGGCAAGGAAGCTGTTGCCCCACTGTTCAGAACCAGCATTCTTCACAGCACAAGGTGGAAGTCTCTGTAGAATCCCGTCCTGCAGAGGCAAGACAGAGCTTCAGAGAGAAGACAAATGAGTACAGTTTGTCCAGCACTGGCTCTGCAAGTGAACAGACTCCACTGACCCTAAGCAGTAAAGGGCAGGAGCATCTTGGCCAGATACTGAAGCTGGAAACATCTGCTTCAGACCCTCTCCTGGCGGGAAACCGCTTCCTGTCAGGCATGCAGTCCTCACTAAGCCCGGGCAACGGAAACCCACACCCACTCAGTGCCAACTGCCTTTCCAGCTCCCTCAGCAATGGGATGAGCAACCCTTCTAACGACATCTCGCTACTTCGGAGAGGCCCACAGAGTGGGGAACCACAATACCAGGTACTTCATAATTGAGCCAATGGCTTTGTTACTAGGAGTGGTGTCTCCTCTGGTCATTTCTCACATTCCCATCAAACTAGGGGTGCTTCCAATAAAGCTCTCTCTGTTTCCAACAGGGAAACCTGTGGGCATATTCCCGAGAGAGTTCTGCCCATGCCCAGCGCATAGCCAAGGCCAAGTGGGAATTCTTCTATGGCTCACTGGACCCTTCTGGGACAGGTAATATTCTTATTTTTTTAGTACTGGTATGAATTTAGGATTTACTACCTGACAACTGTATCCCAAGGTTGGAAGCAGGCATAGCTGTGTCTTAGGACAGAGAAGAACCACTCTAATCCTGGATGTTCCATTTCATCTAGCACCCTGATGGGTTCTTGCTGGCAGAACAGAAGTATCAGCAGAGCTTATTTTTCACTGTTTCCTCCCTTTGTTGGTCTGTCCTTAAAAAAAAAACCTGCCCCCTGACCATCCCAATGCAAGCAGTCACAGGAATTCATTAGACAAATTTTGTGGCATGTCTGCATTTGCCCTCTCTGTTGGGGGCATGGCAAGAGGCTAACAAGGGCTCTACAGCCAGTCTTTTCCTTCCCTGCCCACTTCTAACACATTCCTTCTTTTCTCTTCTTTAGAGAGTCAAAAGTTTCCAATATTAAGAGGAAACCACTACAGAAACCTCCACAGAGGTTGGGCAGGGCTTGGAGAGGGAGTAAATATTCAGATATTATTAGTTGCTTGACACCGGCCTATGTTTTTCCCCAAGAGAAAGCAGAGAAGCGTGTTTGCAAACTTGGGCATGGCTAATAGAATTTTCCATTATTGGGGTAAAAATAGAATGAATATTAAATTTAGTGCATTGAAATTGTGATGCACTGAAGCCTTTATGTTCATTTATTGTCATTTACTAATTGTGGTAATTTAGTACTTATTGAATTACTGAAAAATTATTTGATGTTTCGACATATTTCACACTGTACATTGCTTTTCAAGACAAGTTGTGTTGTTGTTTTTTAAGAGATGCTTTCTTCTTACAGACCTAGGAGTCCTGGGATTTTTACACACTCTTCAGATCCTCATGCATGAAGCAGTAGGCTATGTAAATGAGACCATGTGCAAGAACCTCTGCACTATTCCATTGTGTATCCGATGATTGGTACAAGAAGTACTGTAGGTTTTGAGGGGGTTAAGTATAGCATTTCAGAGGAATGCCAGCAGAGTGTCTGTTGGTTTGTTTATTTAACTTTTTATAGCACTTTGTTTTCGGGCCCTATTAAAAATGATGATGGTGATTCTAATTAGCTATTATTAAACTTTTCAGAGTGTGGGAAAGCCACTGCTTCCCCCATCTTCCTTGAGCTCTGCTTTCTTCGTCTTTTCCTGCTTTTCTGTTAGTCATATTAGAGGCAAGATTTGTGAAGAATAATTAAAGGTTTGTGTATAGTGTGCTGTTTATGGCTAAGTGTTGTTTACATTAAGAGAAGAAAAGTATTATCTTTTAGGAAATTGTTACGGGTCCTTTTGCTTTGTTTTTATTTTTTGTAATTTGGGATCTCTGTGTTCCAGGGATATCTCCTCAGAACGTACCTGATCCACCACCTCAGATCCACAAGAAATCCAGCCAGCCAGTGCAACCAAAATCAGATTGGAAGGGGCCAAAGCACAACTTCTGTCATGTAGAGGTAGAAATTGAGATGGCACCACCAGACTGTACAAAGCCTGGGAACTGTGAAACTGGAATTATCCGCAGAACAGTGAAATATTCGGAAACTGACCTCGACTCTGTCCCCTTGAGGTGCTACCATGAGACCAACATTGATGACATTTTGGCTGAGAAGGAAGAAGTGGATTCAGCCATTGAGAGCCAGAAGGATAGTGAGAGCAATCCAAGTTTTAGTGGAACCTTTGGGAAAGGGAACACTGTTCCAGGGGATCTCATTGTTCAGCACACCCAGGAGAAAGGTTGCGAGTACTTGAAAAGTAAAATACAGGACAATGAAGATGATGAAGTATTTGAGGGTACACAGCAACAACAAGAGAGGTAATTTTTTTCTCTCTCACCTAGTGAGTAGTTAGCATGTTACCTGAGCAAGTTGTGTTGCCTGTCTTGTGCTTGTTTTCCAGATATCCAGATACAAACAGAAGCAGGGACATTATTGACTTCAGGATAATCAGGTTATGCAGTGTATCCTAATACTTATGACTTCTTAGATGGTATACGTTACATATTTTTTAGAAGACGTGTTCCTTCATTTGGTGGCAAATGTCAGATTTCCCTTGCACATGCTTTGCCTTATCTCCATATCTTGCATTCTAGTGTGCCTTGTTTTGTGATTGACCCTTGAAAGGTAAACATAGTCCTCAGGCTCATACCTCTGAGGAAATTGCATTCTTGGATTCAAAATGGAGAGAATAATCTCAGAGAATACACATTTCCCTGAATGTCTAGTTTGGCCTTTAGCGTACTAAAGTCTTTGAACCTGTATATAGCTTCCTTCTGATTCCTACAACTAGACAAAAAACTTTAAAAAAATTATCTCACACATGCACATACCGACACATCTTGCACCCAGCTCTTCAATTTATGGGAATTAAATCTCCCTCCATTGCTTTGCATGGAGTGTTGCATTTCCCTCCTCCCTGCTTCTTGTAGCTGTCAGAGGAAAATTCTCATCAAAATGTTGCTTGTGTACCAATAGGAAATTTCTTCTACTTGCAATGGTGATAACCATTCTGTTTCCTGTGGCTAGTGCTAGGATGTATTAGAAACCTAATAACCTCTTTAAGGTGTGAGCAGGAAGCTCACATTCTCTTATGCTCATGATCTTTAGATGTGGATGGATGGAAGAAGGAGTAATAGGTAAATGTGCTTTTTAAAATGGTAACAGTTTGTTGCTCATCACACACTGCAAAAGTTTGTTGTAAATTGTTTTGACCTACAATCACCTTTGCAGTCTCAGAAACATTGTATATTATGAACCTTATCCACAATGGTAAAATCCTTAAATTGCTCTCTCTACTTTACCCCATGCTTGGCAATGTTAATCACAACCAATAATTATATATTACAAACAATTCCACTAACAACAAAGGAAATACATCACTGCAAAAGAAGGCACATAGATTGACAACAAAATCACATTTGCTACTTCAGAAGAATAATTACTGGCATAAATGTAATTGCTACTCACAACTGGAACAAACTCACTGAATCATTGGGATTTACATGCAGTTGATTCAATGGGACTACTTTACTGGGGACTAGCAGTTAGATTTAGGCCCATGACAAAATCACATTTGCTACTTCAGAAGAATAATTACTGGCATAAATGTAATTGCTACTCACAACTGGAACAAACTCACTGAATCATTGGGATTTACATGCAGTTGATTCAGTGGGACTACTTTACTGGGGACTAGCAGTGAGATTTAGGCCCATGTAAGTTAGATTTAAATGCCATAGACAAAATCCAGTTCTGGTCTTAGGTAAGATAGATGCATTGAAATGAATGAGACTTGCTAGTCAACACTAATGCTGGTTCAGTTCAGTTCAGTGGGTCTAGTTGAGACTGTGGCTGAAGTCCTGTTGCTTAGCATAGTAAATTACAGTAGAATTGGCCCACTGAAATCCTGTTGCTTAGCATAATAAATTACAGTAGAATTGGCCCACTAAATTGGTGGAATTTGGTGAATCATCTTCATAGGTTCAGTTGATTAAAATAGGCCTCCTCTAGTTAAGAGTTATTATGCTCAAACAAGTCACAACTAGAGTAGGCCCATTTGATTCAATGGAATATATGGGGGAGTTGACTCACCAAATCTCCACTGATTCAGTGGGCCTATTCTAGTGCAACCTATTACACTAAGCAATAGGATTTCAGCCTGTAATGAGATTTGACCCGGTATATTTCACTGTAGTGGGGATACACTAAGCAACAGGATTTCAGCCTGTAATGAGATTTGACCTGGTATATTTCACTGTAGTGGGGGAAAGTGTGATTCATGGGTCCTGAACGCCACTCTTCTTATGCTTCTTTAACTCTGAGTAGGAGTTGTACTAGATAGCCCTTCACACCAAAGACTGTCCTCTGTAAATTAGGATACATGGCTAATTCTGTGGTCAGGGAAGGATTTCCAAAACAAGACCTTTATCTGTTATGAGAAGCTGCAGAGGCATCTTGACTTGCTGGTCCTCATGGATAAAGGAATTCCGAAGTATAGAGACCATAGCAGGAAAAAACTTGCCCTACTATTCAGTCTCTCCTCTATAAATGATGAAACACATCCATAGACCTCAAAAGAGAGAGAGGGAGAGATACATAAGAAAATGTTATCCTTAAGGCATAAGAAGATTCAGGCTAATTAGTACTGGGACGGAAAGTAAATTTGAAATCAAAGGTTTCAATTTTACAAAATACTGATCAGAATCCTGTTGATGTTCACATAAGATTTGCATAACTTGTTACAGCTAATTGTGGCTAATTGTCAGGGTGCTGGGGTCTGTCTTAGTTGTGCGCTTATTAGAGATGGGGGTATTCATATTTGTATATGAATATGAATACCCCCATGCATTGCTACAGTGAGTCAAACAATTACCCATTGTTTAACTGAGATGTGCCCTAGTACCTCATCAGTTAGCTGCAATTACCTGTGACAAGCTGTGCAAACCATTATCCAAACACTGATAGGATTGTGGTTATTAAGTTGTGGATGCATTTAAAGTTTGGAGTTGTGTTTAAAAAAATCTTATACTACTGTATATTTTTGAATTATATCAATAAAAAGCTAGTTACTAGCAGTTTCAAAGCATGCATGCCCTTTTGAGTTCAGGCTGGACATTACGTTAAATCAGGGTGGCGAGTTCTTTTTTCATTCACTGTGAGCTAAACTCCAGTTGCTACTCATACAAAACTTAACTTTGTGCATCTGTAATCTAGATAACTGATAAAGGAACATCGAAATAGACTCTCAGATCCTGGTCAATAGTGAAGACAATGGAAAAGACCATTTGGAAAGATGGAAAATATGGAGGGACTTTATCTGGCTGCTGGATTCCAGGGAACCCAGAACTCACTTTCTGGGAAGGCCCTAAGCTGTCGAGATTTGGGGCCAGTTGGCTTGCAATCAGAGAGTGATATAGGATTGCCTTGGATTGCACCAGAAAGGGCCGCCTTTGCTGGGTGCAATCTTTAAATCAACTCTTCTGACCACATGCAATCTGGTCTGAATTACTCCAGCTCAGTCCCAAAAGAAAGAGCAGCACTGTCCCTGGACCAAATCTGGACTGTGCACAGAGCAAGGTCAGACAAGTTTGTGATGTCCTGTATACCATCTGGTTGCTGGAATATAGATCGAACCAGACCATGCCATAGCCTCTCCAAATAGCCAGCTAAATCACCATCTGATTGCATCTTTAGAGTAGATGTAGTGGACTAAATGAACATTATGACCTCTATACAGCTGAATTATGTATTTTGGGAGGCCGGGAGGGGGGACCCAGCCCACTATGCCCATTCTATTCTGCACAGCTTTTCAGCCTACAGAATTTGTAGTAAGAGAGTGATGGCAAGAGAGTTAGACTGGAAAAAAAAGTTATAGAGACAAATGTATTAGGGGAAGAATGGGTAGTCATGCAGGTCACAAGAACTCGTCGCTAGAATATTGAAGTGTTGGGCAAACGTTGTGTTCTAGTTTTGTTTGCAGCCCAATTATGTAGATTTCTAACCTCAGAGCAGATTTGGGAGAAGGCAGAAGACTGTTCCCTGAACCCCACTAGTGCAAGATAAAGAAGTGAGATTTCTTGCCTACAGGAGTGGGCACCAGCGCATAATGCAAAAGGAGGTAGCCATTGCAGATGTCCTCAGGGAAGGGAATGGAGCTGGAAACATTTAGAGGATCTATTCTGCTATAGAACTCCAGTATACTAGGTAGTATGATTAACATAAATCCTTAGGACAGTGTGAGCCATAAATTGAATAAGATAAGCATTGAGGCATATGGCTTAGCAGTATCCATGGGGAAAGAGTCCTAGATATTCCTGGTACAGAAATATACCAAAACACCAGGTCTTCTGTTGAGCAGGTCTCACAGCATTGGAGGTGTGGTTGATCACAAAGAGAGTCTAACACAACACTAATTATCTGCCGACTGGAGAAACCCCTTAGTCCCTTCCCTCTACCCCTAATGTACTTCTCAGCATATGCATTTACTGTTTTTTCAGAGGAAGACCTAATCGGCTCCTTTGCAAAGGGTGGCAGGGAAATTCATTAGTTGATGGTGTAGGAATTGGAGCCTGGTTGTGTGCTGAAGAGAAGTGATAGGCGCTACAACAGTGTGATGTTTTCTTTTCACTCTCTCCCATAAATGTCCAGGATCATCAACAGAGATGCAGAAGGGTTGCTGAAGTCCCCAGTGCCATTTCTCCTGGGACGCAGTCTGTCCAAAGATGGCATGGATTCATTCAGCAAACATTTTGAGAGCATCATGGAGTCTCACCGAGCCAAAGGGACCTCTTACACCAGCCTGGATTCCATTGATATCCTATCCTCCCCCTCTCAGACACACAGTGGAACTTACTTCACCTTCGATCTCCCTACCCTTACCCCAGCAATGCAGGAGCAAATTCGAAACAGTGCCAAACTCATTGAGCAGAACTTTGCCCCCCTGGCCCATCTAGAGGCAGATTCTGGAACCAGTTCTGCCACTGATGTTCCCTGGACTGAGCAGGAAGAGGAACCAAGACGTGGAAGGAAAAGTGGTTTACAGAGTCCCTACCATTCTGAGGACAGCTTGGGAATTCCTCTGGCCTCTATTACAAGGTGAGCAAATAAAGCTAATTCTAAACGGGGCATCCCTGGAATACTGTGGTTTGATTGTTCAGAATTCTAAGTGAATTTATTATCGCCTTACCCTAGCACTGTAGGACAGAAATTGTTGGATATTTCTATAATGACAGTAAGAAAGATGGGTAGTGTAAAGGGAAATATTCACATAGACTTCTTCTATTTTGTACTCCTTGATATGACTAACTTCACAAACAGAGAAATTTGAAAGGTGCTCTTTTAAAGGGGAGAGTGTATGCTTTGTGCCACAGTAATTAGTTCTGTTCAAGGCTCTTCAGTGTTTGCTATGAAAATAGTCATTTCAAATGGCATGAAAAGGTTTTCAGAGGAAGAACAAAACCTTTAAACTTCACTATTTCATAAATTTCAGGTTTGTTTGTAGCCACAGTTTGCCTGGTTTGATGTTGCCTTGTTTCAGTTCATAGAACTGGAAAACCTATTCCTTTACTTTTTAAAATTGTCACTATATATGTGCATGCCAGTATTGTTAAAAGTCTTTTACTATGTCTGAATTTCATTTTTAATTCTATAAATCCTCTCTGGGAAAACAATTCCATGCTTTTGAATGTCAAAATACATAGTAGCAAAAATGAAGAGCACTTTTAAAAGATACATAAATATATTCTGAAATCCCCCTCCCCGCAGTTTTATCTTCACTATAAAAGAAATCCAGCTCCTGTGGAAATAAAATTTACATTTATAATTTGGAATGAATTGCACAGCTGATTACTCTACCTTTGGTGCTCCTACCCTGTGAGGATTCGGAGTCTGGCTCCGGTTTGTCTTCAAATAAATTTATTTATTTATTTTTATTTACAATATTCTTGACAGACTTCCTCGGTTTAGAAATCAGTGTAACATTTATTGGATTGTTTAACAAGTAACCTGTGTCAACGAAGGTATTCCAACCATTTCCTCCCTCTAACAACTGGTTAGATGGGGGCTTCACGTCTTCAACTTTAAAGGGGTTACACCCCTGAACATTCCAGGGACCCGGCCAGTCCAGTGTAAAGTCTGTATTCAGTAATTGTCTTGTCTCCCCTTCCAGTAAGGGGACTGTATCTTCATCCAGGTTATCTATCCAAGCCTGGCCTCTTGAGGGGGAATCCTCCAGCCATAATCTTCTGGGAGACCCCTCCGCTGTAGCTCCATCACCCTCTATTCCAATCTTTTTCTCCTCTCCCTCTCCACCTTTTCCTTCTCTTCCCTTAACTTCCTTCTCCACTCTTTGGTCTCTCGTTCCCCCCAATAAGATGATTTAGGGGTGCTCTCACTTCTCCTTCTAAAGTCCGCCTCCTCCTTTGTGACTCTTACGTTTTTCTACCTTCCCCGTCCATGGATCTTCCAACCAAATCCACTCCCAACGACAAGGCAGGTTCCCATCCCCCCTCTTTATATCAACAAGCCCCGCCTCCATCTCTACCCAGAGCTGTCCTTCCATTCCCACCAAAACATTCCCACTTTCTTTAACAGTCATTTCTTTCTTCTCTTCTACGATCCCGGGGTCTGTTTCGGGTAGTCTTATCTTCCTGGGAGGAGTAATAGGTGGTGTTTGTACTTCCTTGTCAGCAGAGGGCAGGAGGGACGGGAGGCGCTCCCGTGAGAGGAATCTTGCTCTCACCACCAGTCTTACACACACACCCTGAAGTTACTAAGACAAGAAGTAGAAAAGGTGATATTTGGCCCATTTAAGATTGAAGTTCTTAACCAATGCCACTGATGAATTTGATATAAAGTTCCTCATATGTGCCGTCATCTTGTAAAATAATCCATAGGCAAAGAAAGCCTAGGAGGTGTTTAAAATGTAGATTGAGGCAAAAATACAGAAAAACTCAAAAGCCCCAGAAATTATTCTCTGGTTTTTCTGTCTTTCACACACTGAGGAGATTGCCCTCCTTTTCTTAGAACGTTTTGACGACTACATGAAATAGCTTTTAGAGCACGAGACTGAAGACTCTGATAAATGCTGAGTCCAAACATATATGACGGGCATAAAAGGTTTACCAAGACTGAATAGGTGTTACTCGGTTGAAAGAATAGTTGGTGCAAAAATGTTGTGGCACAGAAATAAAATTAGGGATAAGAAATGTCTAGGATTTTCTGAAACATGATAGAAAATGTTGAGCTTGAAGTTTTGCCGGTTGTCCAATGCTGTATTCATGGATCCACTCTTTTTCTGTTATGTTATTAAGTTCTCTTTTTGCAGTGTAACTGTAATATCTAGTTAGAATTTTAGTTACAGGAGTATGCCCTAACTATATAGTAGAAAAGGAATATCACACAGTTTAAATGTCAATTCATGCTATGCCTTGCGGTCTTGCATCATGCACTATCATGAGTTATTAAGCTATTATCAAGTTATCTAAGTTATTGCGTTTTTGAGCTTTTGTTTCTGATGATTTAGGGACAAACTGCACATGGAACAAACATCCCTCAGAGTTGACTTTTTTTGAAAAAAACTTATAGCAGGCATGGGTTGCTGCAGTCAGGGGAAGGACTTTTAACCTTTTCAGTAGGGGTACTAGCAAAAACTCTAGTTCCTGCGAGCTGCTAAATGTTGTGGAACAAAAGTGTTTTCAGTTTGTTGTATTAGGTCAGGGAGCGATCTAGTATGTGCTTTGCCCGGCTCACACTGTAATGTGCATTTTTAGTACACATTTGCATCCCAGTCAATTTAACTCTGTGGATATAAGGTGGCCCCATTAACGTGCTTTGCATAATCCTGAATTATGTACTGGCCAAAAGGGAGAGGGTAAAGTAGGAGCATGTATAACTATTCCCGGGCATATTGGACCAGGAGATGCAGGGTAGTAGTAAATCTTGAATGTTACTTTTGAAGTAATTAATTACAGTTACAGTTTCAAAGCCTCAAATAATAGTTAGTCACCATTATAGTCCGATTTTTTAAAAGTAACTTTTCTTCCCCATTTCCCAAAAGTAAAATTTTAAAAATAATCTGAATGCTTTGAGCCAATGGGTTGTGCTCCAAAACACTCTCCTTCTGTCCACCTCATCACTCACAATGGGGGACACAGAAAGAGTCTCCCTGAAGAATATGAGGATTGTGGACACATTAGGGTAACCCCGCCAGCAGCGACAAGACCTGTTGGCTGCTCCTTTCACTCCAGAAGCACCCCTGGATTGCTTCCGATATGAATGAACAAGAAGGAAAGAAGTTGTCATTTAAAGTGGGCAGAAAACAGGAATGCTATATTCATTTTATTTTAAATATACAGGTAGATGTTATTTACACTCTTTTGCTCTTGTTACACTGGGCTTTCTACATTTTTCCTAGTCAAATATTTTTCTTGTTGTTACAAACTTGATTCCTGTTCTTGAGGAAAAGTCTAGCACTGGACTGTTTTTCACACAGGACCAACATTAATAGACTTTGGATATCCTTACACCTTGGAAATGTTTTATTTTACATCTAGCAACAGCCTTGGAACCAGGGCTTGGAAAGAGCTTAGATGGGGTTCTGTCTGTGCTTGCGAAGAGGCTGAGTTGGAGCCAAGGTCTGTATTTAACAACTTTAGAGGCAGAGTTTAGAAGCTTGAGACATTGCACGTTACTCATGTGGTCACAAGAAGTGTCTAGGAAGATTACTGGCCAGTGGCAATGGAGAGCTTGACTCCAGTTGTTCTGGGGTTGTTTGGGGTTCATCTGGGGGTTTTTTTGGGAGGGAGGTGTTTTGTCATTTAAAGTGGGCAGAAAACAGGAACTGCAATATTCATATTCAGTATTAGCATCCACACATGGCAGCTTTTGCTCTTGTTACACTGGGCTTTCTACATTTTTCCTAGTCAAATATTTTTCTTGTTGTTACAAACTTGATTCCTGTTCTTGAGGAAAAGTCTAGCACTGGACTGTTTTTCACACAGGACCAACATTAATAGACTTTGGATATCCTTACACCTTGGAAATGTTTTATTTTACATCTAGCAACAGCCTTGGAACCAGGGCTTGGAAAGAGCTTAGATGGGGTTCTGTCTGTGCTTGCGAAGAGGCTGAGTTGGAGCCAAGGTCTGTATTTAACAACTTTAGAGGCAGAGTTTAGAAGCTTGAGACATTGCACGTTACTCATGTGGTCACAAGAAGTGTCTAGGAAGATTACTGGCCAGTGGCAATGGAGAGCTTGACTCCAGTTGTTCTGGGGTTGTTTGGGGTTCATCTGGGGGTTTTTTTGGGAGGGAGGTGTTTTTGTGTTTTTTGTTTTGTTTTGTTTTGTTTGCAGATATGAATAGATCATCCCAGTATTAGCATCCACACATGGCAATGGTATTTTTTCTTTGATCCCCCTGGGAAGCGCTGGTTCATCCTGGTATCTCTCGCCAACACACATTTGGAATTGCTCCATGACATCTCACTCCCAACAGAGATTCCCCTCACCTTTTTGCCTCTCTTCTCCACCCTCTGTCTGCCTACATCTCTCTCTCCCTTCCCTTCTTGTTTTACCTGTCCAAGAAGCATGGAGGGATGGAGATTCACCACCAGAAAAAAGCCCATAAGGAAACACTGTCAAATGACACACATCTGAAAAGTGTGTGCACCAGCACAGAGCAACACAGTGTTAAGGTCCACACGAGATCTTGCATTGGAGCAAATCAGAGCAAATCAGAACAAGAACACACCATTAGACAGGAGTGGCATATTAAAAAATCCTGGAGAGCAAGGTGTGTTGTCCTGCTTATGCTGATACTAGTTTCAGCCCTGCATTGTGTGGACACTGAGGTGCAGTACTGGTATCATAGGTGCAAAAGAAAGTTGAGCAAATGCTCAGTGTGCACAGGCTAAGAAGGTGGAAATAAAATATACCAGTTGCAACTGGCCCTAAGTACCCAGTGTGGGGTAGTGGATGGAGTGAGGAACTAGAAATTTTGGGACCAGAGTTCGAATCCCCACTCAGCCATGGAGGCTCACTGAGGGAGTGGAACTGGTAAAAACACTCCTTAAATATTTCACTTACTTTGAAAACT